CTTGACCCATTCCTGAGATCTGTTCTCTTGAAAACATCTAACCTATTTTTGGTTCTACCCCTGTACAAAACCCAAAAGGACAATCTGACCCTCTGCCAAAGTCTCTGCTTCTCTGTAATAAACATCTCCCACGTTCTTTAGGTAGATCTCAAAGAGCATGGTTTCAAGTTTCCTCACTTTATCTTAGATCATATGCCAATGAACTCTGACTGGTCTATTTTTCAACCAGAACAGCAGGGCTAGGATGGAACACAGTAACCAGGTGAGGCCACAGATTCAGAGTCTCCTAAGTCCTACTGACTTTTACTGTTGGTGCAGGGAAGCTCCATGACTTTTTCACTTGTGTTGCTGTTAAGACACATCCTCTGTTCTGTCCTCATGCAGCTGGCTTTTTGGGACACAAACAATTATTCAATTAGTCCTGTTATAGTGGATAAATTCATTCTATTATTTTATTGTGAAGCTTAGAGTGCTGTCTTGTCTTTTAGTAAATCTCTTTCCAGCTTAATTTCCCTGCTAATTTGATCAGGATGCCATCAAGTCCTCATCCCAGTCCAAAGAGGACAAATACATGGTGAGCATGCGTTCATTCATTGGTCAACAAATTTATGGAGAGCCATCTACATGCTAGCACCAGGCTAGGTCCTAAGGGTACTACGAAAAGCAAGAACTGGCATTCTCTGCTCTCACAAAATTTACCCTGTAATGGAGAAAAAAAAAAGAATCAAATAATCATTCTACTTACTGTATGATTACAAACTGAGTAAGTACGCCAAAGGAAAAGAATGTGGTTCTATGGCAGCATATAACAAAGGAACCTGGCCCAGGCTAGGATCTTAGGAGAAAATGACACTGAAGGTTGAGCAGGATTTGCTACGTGAGGAGGAAAAAGGGTAGATACAGCAGATGGAGGACACAGATGGGTGCTGTGCTATTAGTAAACATTCTTTAGATTATTAGTTAGTAAACCGCTTAATTTCACTACGGTATAGCTTCCATTTCTCCACCTTGTCTTGAAAGTTATTTTGAATGACAGGAGGGTGGCTCAGTTGGTTGAGCGCCTGACTCTTGGTTTTGACTCCGGTCATGATCCCAGGGTTGTGGGATCAAGCCTGTGTCGGGCTGCTGCTGAGCGTGGACCCTCCCTGGAATTCTCATTGTCTCTCTCTGTCTCTCTGTTTCTCTCTCCCCCTCCTCTGCTTGTGCTCGCACGCACATGCTCTCTCAAGCTAAAATAAAGAAAGTTCTTTTGAATGATGGACTGACTGTCCAAGACCAAGTGAAGCCTGCGTAGTTAGTTCATCGACCAGTTCTTACAGAATCCACTCTCTCGAAACCAGGAACATCGGCCCAACTTGATCTTTCTCACGTTTCTCCCTCATACATGACTCTTCAAAGTCAACAGCAATATGTTCAAACCATCATCTCGAAGTTGTCCTCACATTCAAGATATAATTGATCAGAACCAGAAAACTTAGGAATTTAAAGAGCTAAAATAGTATTTTTCAAAGTGTGATCCAAGGACAAGGTGCATGAGAGTGGTGAGGTGCTTATTAAAATGCAGATTCCTGGGCACCACCCAAACCAACTGAATTCGAGTCGCTAGGATTCGCTGATCTAAATTTAACAAGCTCCCCAAGTGATTCTTCCACTTTGACAAACCCTGAATTAGTTGTATCCTCATGGCATCCACACTCACATGGAGCTTCAAGTCTCTAATACGTAATCTCCCTGAGTCTGAAGTGCATTACTTTTGGGACTAGTCTGGCAAAGAGAAAGCAGGGTTTCAGAGTCAGAAACCTGGATTCAAATCTGGTTCTACTGCTTGCTATCTATGTGAGCTTGAACAAGTTACTTAATTTTTCCAGGCCTCAGTTTCTTCACTGATAGCATGTGGGTAAGAATATCTGCTTCATAAGGATGTTGTTGCAATTAAACATGAGAATGAGAACAATGGTAGAGGAAGCCTATCATTCTCTGGAACACTTATTGAGGCCTACACACCATTTACAAGATGAATAATACATTATTAGGCACTGTGTTGCATACTGTATCTATCAGGATGACAGAAACATTGCCCATCTCAATTTGGTTTTTTGCTTGTTCTTTGCACCTGTCCCCTTGTAATTAAAGTAGAATTTTTGAAGCCTTTTCCAACCATTATGCTGTTTTATGTCAAAAGAATCCCAGAAGGAGTGCCTGGATGGCTCAGACGGTTAGCTTCCAACTCTTGACATTGGCTCAGGTCATGATGCCAGGGTCGTGGAATTCGCTCCCTCTCTCTCTATCTCTCTTCCCCACTCACATGTGCTCATGCTCTCTTTCTAATAAAAAAAAATAATAAAAGAATCCCATGAAATAATGTAGACACTTTCCCCCTTGAACTGTCTGGAGGCTCCTTACCACTGGACTTATGCCAAAGTCCTGAACCTCCAGCATATACTCAGCCTTAATCTTCTTCTTATCTTTTACCAATCTGCACCTGGGGGATCAAACATTGGTCCATTGCTGCTTATTAATATAAGGCTTTGGTGAAGTTACTGAGCCTTAGTTTCCTCATCTGTGCCTATTCTGTGGAGATTTTACAAGGATTAGGTGATACTCAGTAAGCACTCTGGAAGTGTTAGCTATTCTCATTGTCACACTTCACCCACACTAGCAGCTGCTTCTGTTCTCTGAGGGCTCTAGGCTCCTTCTCATTGCAGGATTTTCACTATTGCCTCTGCCTGTAACGCCCTCTGCCTCTCTTGTGGCCAACTTCTGCTCAGTCTTCAGGCTGAAGTGTCACTTCTCTGAGAAGGCATCCCAGTCCACCCCCGCCCCACATGCTTCTGAACGAAGTTGGTTAAGAACCCCTTTAAATATTCCACTCATTTGGTAGTTTTCCTTTGCAGCTCTTATTATAATTCAATGTTTGTTTGCTCTATTAAAATAGAGAACATGTCTGTCTTACATTGCTCAGTATCCACCCTCATACTTAGCACAATTCTCAGTCCATAGCATTCGTAGAATGTTTTAAATATTTGATGAATGATTTCTTAAATCTGACTATGCCCAACTTTCTCCCTTCGGATTGTAACAACTTCTAAACGTCAGTGACTTTTCTGATCAGAGGCAAACTTCACTCCCTTTACTTTGAGATAAAATTTTCAGAAATGCAAATCAAGAACGTAACAAATGCTTAACTTTTGGCCGAAGGAGCTCCTGCAAGTATGTGTCTTGACTCCAAGTTACTAGAGATCTGCACAGATCAATATGGTAGCCTCTACCGAATGGGCTACTGAGAACCTGAAATGTTGGGAGTCCTACAGTCCAAAATGAGTTGTGCTTGGGGCGCCGGGGTGGCTCAGTCGGTTAAGCGTCCGACTTTGGCTCAGGTCATGATCTCGTGGTTCGAGGGTTGGAGCCCCGCGTCAGGCTCTGTGCTGACAGCCAGCTCAGAGCCTGGAGCCTGTTTCGGATTCCGTGTCTCCCTCTCTCTCTGACCCTCCCCTGCTCACACTGTCTCTCTCTCTCTCAGAAATAAATAAAACATTTTAAAAAATTCAAAATGAGATGTGCTAGAAGTGTAAAATACACACTGGATTCTTAAAAATTTAGTACAAAAAAGAATAATAGCTCGTAATTTTTAATACTTATTACCTGTTGAAATGATATCTTGGAAACATATAAATAAAATGCATTACTAAAATTGATTTCACTTGTTTCTTTTTACCATTTTAAATGTGGCTACTAGAAAATTTGCATATATGGTTTATATTAGATTTCTATTGGACAGTGCCTCCTTTAGACTACCAGCCTCCTCTCATCTTTGCTGCTTTTTTAAATATTTATTTATTTTTGAGAGAGATGAAATGTGAGCAGGGGAGGGGCTGAGAGATACGGAGTCACAGAATCCAAAGCAGGTTCCAAGCTCCCAGCTGTCAGCACAGAGCCGGATGTGGGGGTTTCGAACACACAAACAGGAGATCATGACCTGAGCAGAAGTCCTATGCTTAACCAACTGAGCCACCCAGGTGCCCTATGCTCAGATCTTCTAACTTCAAAACTCTGCTACTCCCAAACTGCGAGGAGCACCTGGGTAAGGTACTTAACCTCCCTCACTTTTCAGTTTCCTTATCTGTAAAAGAGAACGGATACTGCCAATTCTTCGCACAAGTTTTAATAACATAAAGTATGTATGAGTTCCTCGTGTCGTCCTTGGCACCTAACGGATGCCTCGTGTGCATTTTCCCAGTTTAACACGTAAAGTGTTCACAATACACCGTAAGACAGGTATTTTATGAAGAAAGAGGATCCGGGAAGTCAAGATTAGCCCCAAGTTGCACAGAGAGCTAAATGGCAGCGCCAGGATTGGCCGAGGTTTCACTCCGAATCAAGTGTTTTTTCACGAAACCAAAGCTGCTCCCGAAATGCACGAGCGCTACAACTAAATTAGTTCGTGCTGTCTATGGCATTCCAACGTTTGTGGCAAATGCATAAACCAGCGATGTCTATTGCCGGGTTGCCCACGGAAGCTGCAGCAGAAAATCAAACTGCAGATTTTGTTAAGATCATTATTAAGCCCAAAGAATCCGAAAGCCCCAGAGTCAATGACGTGTCTGAAATGTCAGTAAGCAAAACAAAGCGACGGGTTTCTGCTCTAGCCCCCACCCCCCGACAAAACTGCGGGTAGAGGGGAGGAGGTTCAAGAGTCGGGCCTACACGGCCCGGCCTCCCCCGGACCCGGCGGAGGCCACGGCGGTGCCAGGCCGCCGGACCCTCCCCCTCGGAGCTCCGGGCCCAGCAACCAGCGTTGCGCCCGCCCGCCCCTCACCTCCGGCTCCGAGCGCTCCGAGGCCATCACACAGCCCTCCCGCGCCGGCCCGGGCCAGAGAAGATGCTCCACTCGTGACCTTTGACCCGGCTACAGGCGGCCCGCAGGAACCGGAAGTGAGTGGGAGGGCCGAGCTCTGAGTTTTCTGATTGGGGGACGAAGCGCTCTCAGAGTGGCTCTCGACTAGGAAACCGGAAGGGGAAGTCGTTGCCGCCGCCACGGACGCCGCAATGCAGGTGAGGGCGACGTTGGGACTGTTGACCGCCAGCTGGTTTCGGGTAGCGGGACCGTTGAGTGGGCTGGCCGAGGGGAGGGTGAGGAGTTGGGACTGAGAGGAGAGGTTAGAGCCCGCAGCTGACGAGGAAGGGCCCGCGGGATGGAGGGGCGCGACCGACTGGAGAGGTGGGAGCGGAGCCCGGCCGGCTGAGTGTGTGGAAAGAGGCCCCGCGGCCTTCCTGGGGTGCGCGAAACGATCAAGCCGTAATGTGACAAAGTTGAAATGTAGTACAAGGAAGATGGCTTGGGGCCCCGGCTTAAACCATTGGATGGACGCTGTTGGATTGCAGACGTAACAAGGGATCTGGAATTGGAGAGAAGCCTGAGAGGTGAAGGAATTGTTAGGGGGCGGTGGCCAAAGCTAAACTAATTAAAGGCTGGGGTTGTGGGTGGAACCCAGAATTGAGAGCCCTGTCATGCGCGTTGGCGAGTTTCCAAGACAGTTTTGCATCTTCCTTCCCAGCCAGAGCCGGTTAGTTATTAAGGATGAAGAAATGAAGTAAAACCGGAGACCACAGATGGCAAGAAAACGCTTTGCAGACACCCTAGCATTTAAAATTGTTTCTCTGGTGCTCAGGAGCACATGCATTTTTCGTTTGTTTGTTTTTCATTTGCCACATACTGTCTTGCACCTGGCTGGCTGTCAGTAAATGTTTGTCAGTTAAGCGAAGCTCCCGTGGCGCAATCGGTTAGTGCGCGGTACTTATACAGTAAATGTTTTTCACTTGACTGAGCTTGTGAAAGGGATACAGAAATATTGGCATTGACCAAAAAAAAAAGATTGCCGATTAATTCAGCAAGCAGCAGCTTGAAATTTGACGGCAAACGAAGAGTGGGGGATGGTTATGGGGGAGTGGCACAAGCCTGGTATTCAGGGACACCTTCATGTGTGGGTAGGTTTCCCAGGGATTGTGTCTTTGGCAAGACTGCCACGCTTACAAGGCAGGTTCTAGTACAGGAGAAGTTGGAGTACATGTACTGCAGAGGTGCACAAAAGATAATAAAGCCCAGGCATTAGGTCTGATGAAAATGTCTCAGTGAGAGAGTACAGAGTATATCTAATGCAGAGAAAAGCCAGACATGAATGAGGAGATGATGAAAGAAAGGAAGAATTGAGGTCGGGCAAATGGATCGAAAGGTCTAAGGGTTGATGCAGTCTGTAACCCAAATACCAAAGATAGAAAACCTGGCTCTTGTGTACCGATGAGATCCTGTGTTTCTCGACTAGCGTTGCACACTGTCATGCTGGCTCTTCAGCCTTCCTCTGTGTGTGTCATACTCACACCTCATCTGGGTAACCAACCTGTTCCCATTGGTGCAGAGGGAGGAGAAGCAGCTCGAGTCATCATTAGATGCACTGCTGAGTCAAGTGGCTGACCTGAAGAACTCACTGGGGAGTTTCATTTACAAGTTGGAGAACGAGTATGACCGGCTGACCTGGTAAGGGTTGCCAGGGTGAACCGAGGAGGGCTCCACAGGTGGGGGGCTAGGCCTCCTGGTGGACAGGATATCTCCAGTGATATCACAGTTTATCACTTGGCATCTTTTGGTGTGGTAAGAGCTGGGTTTCCCAACATTTAACAAGTTTGGCCTGGGGTCTCAATGCAAGGAAGTAGAGAAACGTCAAGTTTCCCAACCTAAGGTCTTTCCAGCTTTTGATTCTCACCCTTTGATATCTCTAGGAGGAGGTGCTCCCTCAGAGGGCCCTCCCACTACAGTAAGAATGCAGTGTTCATCCTGGGTTTTACCACAGATGCTGCTGAGTCTTTTAGGTGCAACCTACTGTGGAAGTGTGGATCCTATTTGCAGGCCGGAAAGGAGGCTTTTACCCAGTTGCTGAGTTTTTAGTGCTAAATATAGCCAGCGTTCTTATTTTGCCATAGGTCCTCACCCCCTTTAAGCAACAAACTGCCTTATTTCTCCATCTGTGTTAGAAACCGTATGTCCCTCTTTCCTAATCCCACAATCCCTGGGGGCCCGTTTGGTGCTGGCCCCAGTGCAGCTGTAGTGCCGTGAGAGCTGGGTGTTCCTGGTCTGAGGGACCCCTTCGAGGCTGCTTGACTGAGAACATCCTGACCCTTTCTTATCACCACCAGGCCCTCTGTTCTGGACAGCTTTGCCTTGCTCTCTGGACAGTTGAATACTTTGAACAAGGTCTTGAAGCACGAAAAGACACCACTCTTCCGTAACCAGGTCATCATCCCTCTGGTGCTGTCCCCAGACCGAGATGAGGATCTCATGGTAAGAGGAGGGGAAGGGTACAACGTGGGAAATTAAATTCTTAGCTGGGGATTTAGAGCACAATTGTTGCTTGGTTACATCAGAAGTTCTGAACGAGGAGTAGTGTGTGGCAGTAGAAAGCAAGGGCTGCCTTTTGGAGGCCTTGCTTTTTGCCCCTCTGGTGTCGGGGAGCCACTCCCTAATGGTGCCAAATAAACCTGAAGTTTACATCACCAAGGCAAAGACCTTTCTCCTCCAACACCTATCTTGAGCAAGAGGTATGTTTGTTGTGATTTCGTCCATTTCAGTCTTTTACTGAAATGTAGTGGAGAGAAACTTGCCCCTGGGTCTCGTAGAAACAGGTGTGAGGAGACAGAAATGAAGCAAGAAGTAAGCACACTAGTGTCCCAGGAAGCTAGATATTGTGTCAGGTTGAATTTTCCCTGAAAATGTACTGTTTGCTTATGGAAGGACCTATATATCAGGCCAGATCAACTTTGTGAATTGCGTAGGAGGAGCAGTAAAATCTGTGTGTTACAGCGGCAGACTGAAGGACGAGTACCTGTTTTCAGCCACGAGGTGGTCCCTGACCATCTGAGAACCAAGCCTGACCCTGAAGTTGAAGAGCAAGAGAAGCAACTAACAACAGATGCTGCCCGCATTGGTGCTGATGTAGCTCAGGTCAGCCTGAGTCCCTGCCCTGCTGCCCCCAGCCCCCTGAACCCCATTGTGAGAAGCTAGGATTTACCATGTGTGTCTGGTAGGTATGCATGGTTTACACATAAGTTACCCCTGGAAGAGCACAAGGAAAGAACTTCACCGTAATCATTTCTTGTCAGTGGCCTGATCTCTGCACATATGTTTGTGTGTTACAGAAGCAGATCCAGAGCTTGAATAAAATGTGCTCAAACCTCCTGGAGAAAATCAGCAAAGAGGAGCGGGAATCAGAGAGCGGAGGTATGGAAGGGCAGTTGGCCAAATGGAGAAGGGAAAGAGGGATGGGATCATTGGGATAGGAATGGTGGTGTGGGTAGTGGTGAGGTGAGGGTGAAAGAATGAACTGCTTAGGAAAGTGTTTGCTCCATTCTGTTAGCTTTTTGTGGTTAGGGCTGGCCCTGGAGCAGGTGGAGGACATGGGCAGAATGATAAGGGGGTGCCCTGAGATAGCTGTGGGGGCTTTTGGCTCTTCCTCGGGGCTGCCATTGAGTGTGGACACGGCTCAGGCCCTGGTGCCCATACTGGTCTTCCCGCTGTTAGGCTCAGTCCAGGGTCAGAGGCACACCTCAGGCTCCTCACTTAACCTTTCTATTCAGGTCTCCGGCCAAACAAGCAGACCTTTAACCCTACAGACACCAATGCCTTAGTAGCAGCCGTGGCCTTTGGGAAAGGGCTGTCTAACTGGAGACCTTCGGGCAGCAGTGGCCCTGGGCAGCCAGGCCAGCCAGGGGCTGGGACGATCCTCGCAGGAGCCTCAGGATTACAGCAGGTGCAGATGGCGGGAGCTCCAAGCCAGCAGCAGCCATTGCTCAGTGGGGTGCAGATGGCCCAAGCAGGTCAAACAGGTAAGGTGGACAGGGGATGATGTGCTAGCAGGCCTTGAGCAGGGAAGTAGGAGTAAGCTGGATGGTCTGGGTCCCTAGCATCCCAGAGCTGGAGAGTTCCTCCTTTTCTTCTTGAACTGTGACCCAGAAAATTTTCAGGAGTAAATCTCATTTGAGCCTCTGCAGCAGGCACCAGAGAAAGGAAGAACTTTGAGCGGCAGAAACTGTACCTCCCACCCCCATTACAGAATTCTGTGTCAAGTACCTTTCAGTCTCATTTACTCGGTATTATGTATGCTGTCAGGGTCCTTTCTTAGAGAAAACAATGGTCAGACCTCGGTTGAGACCATCTGGGAGGTGCACTGGGAACTGACAGATAGGCAAGCTCCATGTACTCTTCTGTGTCTTGTCTCTCCTGCTTCCAGTTAATAGTTACAAGAACAGCATGGAGGAGTTCAGATGTGAGTAGCTAGAAGAGGTATTTTCTTTCAAAGCTGTCTAAGAAAAGGGACAATTACAATAAGAGACATTCCTTTACCTGTGGCATTAAAAGGGGGTCTACCTGTCTTTTCCGGGAGTAGCTGAGCAGCAAACTGCTGGGGTGTGCTCTCACCCCTCCTGCTATCAGCCCTTCCCTCCCAGGCACCTCCAGGGAGAGAGCTGTTCAAGAACCACACCTCTGATCTTTGCTACCCAGGGCTGCAGAGGTTCTGAGATGATAGTGACAGAAGGGAACTTGAGAGGCCACCTATCTGAGTTACATGAAAGTCGTAACCGTGCTTCAGGTATCTTTCTTTGTGTTCCTTTCAGGAAAAATGCCAAGTGGAATAAAAACCAACATCAAGTCCGCTTCAATGCATCCGTACCAGCGGTGAGTGTGGCCGGCAATCCCCACTCCCAGGTTCCCCTTGCAGAGCTGGGCAGTGAAATTGCCTTTTGCCCAAAGCTGAACCAGATGTGTCTGATAAAGAGAACATGGGCTTTCAGCACCAGACAAATCCCGGCTCCACCAATGACTGATTGTGTGACCTTGGGCAAGTGACCTAATTTTTTCTGAGCCTGTTTTCTTGTTCGTAAATGGTGATGTTACCTACCTCATAGGGTTGTTGTGAGGATTAAAATGAGAAAAAATGTAAAACACTAGTACAGTGTATGAAACAATGGGTATTCAATAAATGATAGTTTTGTTTTTTGGGTTTTTTTTTTTTTTTTAGTTTATTTTAAGACAGAGAAAGACCCAAGAGCAAGCAGGGGAGGGGCAGAGAGAGAATCCCATGTAGGCTCCACACTGTTAGCACGGAGCCTGACACGAGGCTCAAACCCACGAACCATGAGATCATGACTGGAGCCAAAACCAAGAGTCGGATGCACCCAGGCGCCCCAATAAATGATAGTTTCTACAGCTACTTCTCCCCACTGCCCTTCTCAATCCTCAATCCAGAACTTAGGGTGATGTGATACTGCTTCATGTCATTGGTGAGCCTATAGACAAGGTCATGGACTGCTCTGTTCTGTTTGAAAGCCTGTGCTGATTTCATGCTGCCAGAAACTGTCACAGCCTCTGTACATCCTTAAGAGGCATGCCGGCTCCTAAGCTTCCTGCCCAGTTTCCATCCCGGCCGTCTCTCCAGCCTGCAGGCACCGAGTCTTCTGAGCTGGCTCTCACGGTCCTTCTGCGGCTCTGGTGGAGCTTGAGGCTGCTCTCCTCCTCTCCTCTAAGAAGCCAGTGCAGCTCGGGGCACCTGGGTGGCTCAGTCAGTTAAGCGTCTGACTTCGGCTCAGGTCATGATCTCACGGTTCGTGGGTTCGAGCCCCGCATTGGGCTCTGTGCTGACAGCTCAGATCCTGGAGCTCGTTTCAGATTCTGTGTCTCCCTCACTCTCTGCCCCTCCCCCACTCATGCTCGGTTTCTCTCTGTCTCAATAATAATAAAAACATTATATAAAAAAAAAAAAAAGCCAGTGCAGCTCTTCCCCGGAAACTAGTTATAAAGTCTCCTGTCCTCTACCCCACCCTGTACACATGAAAGATTTTCTCATTTTGGAGGAGAGGGACTTCACACCATGGTTCATCAGGGTTTAGTTGTCCTCATGATAGTGCCTAATTCCTGGACTCCAGCCAGGTTGGCTTTCCTCCAGTCCCCTGAAACCATGGTCTAGTATGGGCCAGGTTGCTGGTGGGTAAGGACAGCCACCAGGACCTTTGCCTGCTTTTATAAAGCTGAAGAGCAGAGTGAGTTGTGTCTGCAGCCTCAGGGCTCCTTTGCACACAGGGGCAGGTTTTGAGTCAACAGAAGACCAGAGGGTTTCCCTGAATAAAGTTATTGAAATTGATGGCCATTGTTGTGTAGCAACATGGATGGACCTTGAGGGTGTTATGCTGAGTGAAATAAGTCAGGCAGAGAAGGACAAATCATATGTTTGCACATATAGGAGGATTAGGAGGAACTTAACTGAGGGACAAGGGGGAGAAGAAGGGGGGAAATGGTGGGTGAAAGGGAGAGAGGCAAACCATGAGAGACTCTTAAATGCTGACAAAAACAGGACTGATGGATGTTGGGGGGAGAGGGTGTGGGCATGGAGGAGGACATTTGTGGGGATGAGCACTGGGTGTTATGTGGAAACTAATTTGACAATAAACTATTCGTAAAAAAAAAAAAAAAAAGAAAGAAAAATTGATGGCCATTGTGTCAGGATTAGCTGACCGCGATTTATAAGAGAGCTATATAGGGGTCAGAGACTTTCAAAGTTGATGCAAGGCAACTCTAATCTGTTCTCTCTAAAACAGTGTCTTAGCTTTGATCTAAAAATATTCTGAGAGGTATGAGGAGGGCCTGCTCATACCTTCCAGCTGCCTTTTTTTCTGTTCTCTTCTGTCACACGCCAGTACTTTGGCATTTGTTTGGTGCCGGGCAGAGTTCTGCCAGGCTGTGGCAGCACAGTACTGGAAAAGTGGTCCCCGTTGTCACATCCATTCCTGTCCCATCAAGACAAGAAATGGTATCCATAAAGCTCACTGGTCATAGCACGCAGCAGCACGGAGAGTTCTGTTATCAGCTCGAAGGCAATGCCAGACCTTTCCTCCACTTCAACACTAATGCCTAATTGCTTTGTCAGCCCACTCAGGTGCTCCTGATCTTACCTTCTCCCTTCCAGGGGAAGCCTCAGCGCTAACTAGTTGTACTTCTCTAAAAGGCCTGGATCAGCTCTTAGTGACTGCTGTCCTTAATTTCACCAGAAGAGTTCCTCCTGTTGAGAGGTACCAACCACAGGTTTCTTTGTTGTCCCGGGTAATACTACCTTCGTTCTCACCATAAACTGGAAATGGGTTCCTTGTCCTCGCAGAGTGGAAATATCCTCCTGCCCCAACAGGAACGCATGCAGGACCTCACCTATGTCTTGTGACCTTAAGCACACAATTCCTTACTCCAAAGGCACTCACATCTCTCTGTTCTTTACTCTGGAAACACGTGTTCTCATTTGCAACCCCCGCCCACTCCCAGATCCTCTGGGGCACACAAACTTCCGCAGCATCGCCAACTTTGGGATTCAGACAACCCAGCAAGCGCCTCCGTGAGCAGTATCTCTCTACTCACACGCACCTTCCCTTTGAAGAAGAGGACATGACCTGCTTGCTTGTTCAGATTTAGGATTTGTAAAAGATGGCTCTCTTGCCCCACCTTGATGGTGTTCTTGTTTCTTACTGCTCTGTTTTGCCTGGGGACTGTTTTCTCCTCCTCCTGGGGCCCCTGGAGAATGAGATTAGGCCACTGGGCCCCAGGTTTATACCTCGGATGGAGAAAGAAGCCACTGTGAAACCTTAAGTTCATACTGCAACACAGAGTTCACCCTGCTTTGGGCGGAAGCTTGCTTAATCCATGCCGGCATGACAGCCATTGCCTAGGATTGCTCCCTCTCCAGGTCTGCCCTGTAGCTGGCATTCTGTCATTGTGGAACCTCCCTTTTACTCATTTGCTCCAGTCACCCTATTCTCTTCCTCTTTCAACGTCCACTGCCGCCCTACCTAGCAAACTTTACCTAACCTTGTCCCCTTCTTGTGAAACAGCTCCTTCCAGCTCTGTAATGGGTTCCGGCTTTAGGAGCTGGAGGGACTGTGTTCCATACCTCCTGTCCTGCTGTCAGGGACAGAGCTGAACTCTGCAGGAATGTCCTAGTGCAAAGCTGGGCCCTTTTCCGCTCCATTCTCACCTCCCCCAGGCAGCTGGGAACAACCTCTCCCTTTGTCTGAGCTGCTTGTAGAGAATAATCCTCCTTAGGGACAATGTATTCTCTGTGCTCTGCAGACACAGGAGCCGTGTGAGCTGATCCCAGCACCAGGCAGGACGGAGGCTGAATCCTTCCAAACGCCCACCCTGGGTCAAATCCTGATTACTATCCAGAGAAATGATTAAGGGATGTACATTTTCTTCCATCTGCTCCAGATTTGGGAGGATAGCCTATTGAAGTTTAACAACGGGCCAGGGACTGTGGTCCCTTTTCGGATTAGTCCTGAGAGTTCATCACGCCAACCTATAGAGGCTCGATGTGGCTCTGGCTTGACGGCCTCAAACACACAGCGGGGATCCCTTGGAAAGAATGTGCTGCTCTGCAGATGGGGCTTTCCAGCTGAAACAGAAGGCACCCTCTCCAACCCGTCATGGGGGCCATGGCTCCCATGCCTTCAATGTGTGTATGTCCCACAGGACATTCTCCCTCTTCCTCTCTTTTCCCCTTTAGCTTCTCTCACTCTTGTTCTTGCACTCCTGTGAGTCACCGAGGCAGAGCTGGATCTCTGTAATGGGTCTCTGCATGTGTTTACACGTTCTCAAGTGCCACCTACCACTCGGACATGGCAGCTTCCCCAAGTGCATTTTGGACAAGGCACCTGACTTCCCTGGGTCTCCGTTTTCTCCCCTGGCTATTCCCAGGGATCCCTCCTAGCTTTAAAGTCTCTGGCAACGATTCCCGAACCTACCTGTCCTGTCCCCATACGTTGTGTTTGTTTTCCACATTGCATGACTATATTATATAAGATAAACTGAAATTTTCCTGGCTCAGCCCCCAAGTCCTTCACACACACAGCCCCCACAAACTATTCCTGAAGTTCTCTCTCTGTCACCTGCGTGTTAACATTACCAACCTCCCTCTAGACCACTTCCCTGCAATTGTTTTCTAGCTTGCACTGATTCTCTAGTGAAAATTCATCAAAGAAGCAGTACATTACCCCAGAGATAACATGCATGTACGTCAGACGTCACCTCCCCACTGCCCAGCATCCCTCTCTATCCCCTGGAGATTTGTGTACCAGAAAGACTCTTCCAGTGAAAGCAGTAAATGACATTTTCCATGGGATGATAGCCTGTCCTGCTGAATCAATCAAGCCCGGATGAGAGCCTGGGCTGCTCCCCTCCCCACCTGCCCTCTGCTGCCCCACCACCTTCCCTTGTTCTCACTCCAATCTCCTGTCTTCGGTCTTCTCTTGCCCGCACCCCTGCACGCACACTACCTGTGTGTTTGTTTTTTTACTACTTTCTCTGGGCTATTCTCATTTTCATGGCCCCCGTTAGTGTCCTTTTACTGTCTTTTCCATGTTACTCCTTGACCTCACATGCCTACTCTCTGACTCACAGCCACGCTCTTGAAATGCAGGGCCTGCAATCACTGCCTCTTCCTCCACCCCTCCCCTTCCCTCTACCACTCCTCTGGAACTACTCTTCAGACATCACTGTTGACCTAAATGGCTAAATCCAGCATTATTTTCAATGCTCATCTGACTTCATCTCCATGGCGTTTGACAGTGCTGACCATTCATCTCTTTGTCCCCACCTGACTTCTCTGACCGTTTCTTCTCTGCAGCTTTTGGCCTTCTGTCTCTCCGCCTGCTTTTTACTTTGCCTGCTGTCTCTGTGACCACTACTTTTTCTGTACTTAACTCAAATTAAGTTTTATTTTCAGCTCACAGCTCTCTGCCCCAGGACCTATAGGTACCTCAGATGCTG